TCTTTCCCTGTAGCCCTGAACCAATTCAGGGTTCTGCACCATCAAGATCAACTAAAGGTTTGCTATTGACTTCAATGAGCATGTGGCCTGGCCCTCAGGAACTCATTTTGGTCTCTCTGTCTTTGGGTTTTTTTTAAGAAGTCAAAGTATTTTGTTCCATTTCTGGCCAAGGCAAAAAGTAATTGTGCCAAACACCACTCTTCATTCATATCCATTTCAGGTAAATCTTAAACCACAGCATATGGCAATCCCTCCTGAAATCTTAATAACCAGCTGGTAGAAATAAGAATACTTAAACAGATCCTATGGAAAACACCAATAACCTGCTGGAAAAGTTCATTCTCCCTCTCTCTTGCACATTCTCCCTTTTCTTCAGCTCAGTACATGCTGGTCAACTACTCACCTGTAGTCCATGGAAAAGGCAGGGAGGTAACCAGATGCCCCTTTTTCCATCTCATTTTGGTCACAAACCAACATTAGCAATTTAGGAATTAACCCACACTTTCCATCTTCAAAACAGAGGTAACAGTCTTCCTGTGGGCCATCTTATCCATTTAAATTATAAGATCCTTGGAACAGAGTTATCTCTTGCTATGTGCATGTCCAGCACCTAGTGCAATAGGGGCCTTAGCCATGATTGGAACCTCATGGTTTTATTGCAATACGTCTAATAACCCCCTTCTCCAATCAACAGGCACAAATTCATTAAAGCTATCCTTCTCAAGCATATTGGGCCAAATTCACCCTAAAAGGAGTGAACTGTAGCATGTCTGCATTATTAGTGGGATATAGGCAGACAAGGTTCTTTGGGTAGATGTGATATCTTCTATTAGACTGATTAAATACTTGGAAAAATTGTTCTTTGCAAGCTTTCAGGCACAAACACCTTTCTTCAGACATAAGGTGAATATGTTGGTGTATGCGGAAATTTTTACATGTGCTGTGGGACATGGCACCAGGTACTTTAATTAACGAGCTGTGCTAATTAAAAGCACCCGTGTATCATGTGTATTGGCGCTCCTGTGCTGAAAAAATGGCAGCAGGGTACTTTGAACTAAAGCTCAAATGTGTTTTATTTCAAAGCCCCCTGCTGCCATTTTTTCAGCGGGGACACACGGGGATGCTGATACACGTGATGCTGAAGACTGCCAGAGCGTATCAATTTTTGTGCTCCAGCAGACTCGATTAATCAAGACTGCTCCGATGCACTGGATTTCCAGCACCTCATAGCAGACTCCCCACATGTCTACGGGGGCCCACTGTGCTCTCCTGGGTAGAGCAGAAGCCAATATGCAAAATGCAGGTCTGTGAAAATGCAAATGCGTGGCAGTGAGGTTCAAAGGGAATGGGAGACAATAGGTGTGAGAACGTAGTTCAGGGGTGAGGGGGAGGGGGAGAAAGTGATAGAATGTAGCTTGTAAAATGCAAACAGGTTACTTATAAACGGGATTGCATTGAGCAACCTAGGGGTAACTGAGATGTAAAGATTAGCCACTGAACAAGGCTGCCCTCGGGTCAGAGGCAACCTGAGATGTGCAATGAATAACATACATGCTATCAAGTCTGGACCTGCTGACTGTTGGGGCAGTGTCACGTGGCTCAAATTCACTCCCTGGCACACCAAGGACTGCAGGAACCTGGCAATGCAGGGTTTTTTAGCTTGGTCATTGTGCCATGCTAATATAGCATGCTGCTTCCAGGTACTTCTGCATGGTGTTGGCTTGTGCTACTCAAGGAGACTTTAGGAATTTTCTGTGAAAAAACTTGTCTGAACCTGTCCATCTTTTCCTCTGTAATCCTTTTCATGGAGTCTTTCCCAAGGATCAACCAAGTGCATATTATCTTGTGGCTATTTCATCAAGCATGATAAGCTCTTGCACATACTAGAATCTAAAAGCATCCACAAGTTCTTTTTTTTTATTTTGGTTAGCTGAGTTTTCAGTCAATTGCATGAGTTACAAAACAGAGATTAAAAGAAGTGCATGCATTCCAGCAAGAGGAAAGGCTCCTGTCATTTCCATGATAATACTCATTTGCCAAGCAATCAGAAAGACACATTCCCTGCTTCACTTCATTAATAAAGCAGTGTTGATTGATGCTCCTTATTATTGTGGGTTCAAGCTCAGACTGCTGAGTGAGAACAATTGATGGATCCAGAGTCATGTTATGAGTACAAATTGCCAATGATCAACGTGATAAAGGCAACAGACCAGCAGTGTAACAGGCATGGATGTTAATGGAATGCAAATCACATGCTTAAGACCGTAATTCAGTATAATGGGGTACTATGCTTAGTCTGTGAATCAGCTGTGGGAGTGAAGATCTGAGAAAACAGAATTTGAATTCATGCAGTCAAGGCCCTGGGGCAGAACCACCTCTTCAAAGCCCAAGTTAAGGCTAGAGTCCCAGCCTAAATGCTTTGTGCCACTTTGTATCACCTATAAACCTCATGGAACCAGTCAGTTAAGCTAGGTTTACAGCCCCCGTGCATCATCAGACAATGCAAAGCAGCCAGAGTTCATTTGTGAATCTAGCCTGCATTTTCTAATAAGCTAGGGACAGATATTACACATAAACTGGTTTAAGTGATCAGAAACTGGTTTAAACCTGTAACAGAACAGATGTTCAGTGCACATAAACCAGTTTGAAAATGGCTGAAACTGGTTTGAGATAAACCTGGTTGAATGTAGTATCAGACTTAACTGATTTGGGTTAAACTGGTTTATGCAACGTCTGTCCCAGACCTCTTGCTGTCTTAAGTTAAACCAGACTCCCCCAACATCCTGGCATGCTCCCTGGGCAGGGCTGGCCCCTCCCCTCTGCTCCCCGGCTGCAGCTCCAGGAGAGACTTCAGACATCTGCCTGGCTTCCCCCTGCTCCCCCCAGCTGGTAACCCCTAACAAACCATGGGCCAGAACTACCCAGCTCTGGTCCAAGGAGGTGGCATGTCAATAGTGGGGAGCTTTACTGCATCTGCGCCGGGGCCATGCAGTTGGAAGCCGTATCTGCGCTTCACCCAGCTCCATGTCTGCTGCTTCACCTAGCTCCCTGATCCCCAACTGCAGCACAACTGTAACTTCCAGTCAGGGAGCTGGAAGCTGTGTCTTTGCTGTTGCCGCTTCTCCCTGCCTCCCAGATGCAGCACTGCTTCCCACCAGCTAGAAGCTGTGCCAGAACTACAACCAGGAGTGGGGGGATAGGGGAAGTGGTGGTGGTGAAAGTGCAGCTTCTAGCCAGTGAGGAGCTGCACTGCAGCTGGACAGTAGGGAGAAAGCAGTGGACCAAGGACACAGCTCCTTGTTGCCTGGCCCCAGTACAGTTACTGGTACTGCAGGCCAGATTTGGCCTACAGCCCATATGTTGCTAACCCCTGAGCTATACCAAAGAATTGTTTGGAACTGATCTGAAAATCATATCATTTAACAGAAAAATCAACCCCCTTATTCAACAGAGCTATATAGCACCAAAACTGCTAATGTGGATGGGATACAATTTTACAGGAGAAAGGTGACTTATATGGGTAGAGTTTCCCCTTTCCAGACCAGCCAACGTTTGCTGAAAGAGTTATGCTGTTCAAGAGACTACTTTTTGAGCAGTGTAGCTGTTCTTGCCAATCCCCTAACATAGATGCAGCTCTAATAGCAAAACAACACTTTTGTCAGCACAATTTATTTCACCAGGAGTGGGCTATGCACTAAACCAGTGTTTCTCAACCTGTGGGTCATGACCCAAAAGTGAACAAGAATATATGAAAGGGTGGCAAACAAAATTTAAAAATGGATCAACAACCTTTAAAAATGGATTCTCTTTTAAAGGAGAAAAATGTGGGAAACAGTGGCTTTTCCCTTACAGGCTGACAGAGCTCCACTGGGGAGCTGGGCAGCAGTGGGTCAGAAGTGAGGGGCACTGGGAGGGGACTGGCCATTGATGTTTACAAATGGGTCCTGGTACAAAAAAGGTTGAGAACCAATGCAGTACATGATCAGGTTTGCAAGTATAAGCTGTATTCATGCCAAGAGTACTTTGCTGGTACTTGTATTTTTGTCTGAGATAAATGTTCTTCAATTGAATTTTTTAAATTTTATTGAAGTTTAATGAAATACTAGAAGCCAAAGACAGATAATTACCAAGATAATATACAGATACAGGTACAAATCAGGCCTAATTCACATATTATAAAAGCCTTAATCTATCTGTCTGTTCATAACGCTTTATTTGCATTCTGATTGGCTGCCTGAAACAACCAATCAGAGTGTGAATACAGTGTTGGGACAGGAGGTGGCGGCATAGCAAAGTGCTGCCATGATGGTGGGGACACGGGGGTGGGGCAGCCAGCACAGTTGTCCTTGCCCCCCCTGCCCTGCTCCCTGCAAGCAGTGGTGATGGAGCAGAGGCAGGTGGGAGGGCAAGGCCACCAGAGCTGGCCTCCCCCCCACTCCTTGGAGGTGGAGGTGACAGCAGCCGCACGGAGCAGGGGGAGGGAGTGGGGTTGGGACACTGCAGGCCAATGCACCAGCGGTGGGGGGGAGGAGTGGGCCCAGATAAATAATATAGATACATAACAGCGATGTGTCATCTGTGAAAGGGTTCATTTATAAATGTAGCAACACTGCTAGGTAACAGAGTCCCTATTTCAGGTTATGTCCAGCCAATGAGAGCTTTCGTTGTTCAATAATCTCTTGAGACAATTGTGTCAGTGGAGTTCCTCAAGCACTATTATGAACTGGAATTCTGCCTCTAGCTTGCTCATGTAATTGAATTAATCAACTCGCCCACTATTTTATATTCCACTCAGCATTGGACTCCAGAACCATGACTGCAAACACAACAGGTTTTAGTATCCCCCAGAAATGCTAGGTTTATTTCCTACAGTAAGAACCCTGTGCTATGAACTAGGCAATCATATTCCCAGGACCTTACCTCCAGCAGCCCATCCTCTGGTAGATCTGTGCAGTGGACAGCATTCTGAATCTTGTTTTTACCAAAAAGAGCACGCAGAGTTCCAGGCCGGAGGTGACGGGCTATTTCCTATCAGGTACATAAACAGATACACTGTGAATCATTTGGATTTGTTATGTCATGTACAATATAAATGCCTTTCAGGTGAACCATTCGTTCTAAGTTGCTTGGTGTACGTACAGTATGCCAGAATCCAAAATAAAGAGATAGCTTCCCACTTCGCCTGCAGATATTTACATGGTTAGGAGTGGAACTGAAGGCTGAGGTGTCTAACCTTAAGATGGTGTAATGAAAGGACTATGGGTCAACAGGGACAGAATAAAGGACTGTCCATGCTACATACACAGGGTCCTAATACCTGCACTAAAGAAGTTAGTTGTGAATGAGTAGGAGGTTCTCATTTGCTGTGTGTGCTGGCCAGCAGAGACAAGACACCATCGTGCACGCTTAGCAGCATACATGTGGAGTGCTTCATCTTTGCCAACTGATGGAGGCAAACTTTCACCTTAAAACTTCATATAGTCAAAACTATGCCTTGATTCAACCCCAAACCCATCCTTTTTGGATTCACTTCTCCCTGGATGTCAGTGGAGCACTGCCAGCAGTGGAACTGCTGATTTGTCCTCTAACAAAGAACAATATCTGGATGAACAACTCATGTGCATTACTAGTCTCCAAAAAAAATGCTTGTATTACTTTTGTCTTTCCATCCTCCCATTTTAGCCGCCCTGTCTCATCCTGAACCAAGACAGTAAGGTCTGGGGATAGAAACTGCACTGAGCACAGCAAGCCCCACCCTGATTGAGATCTATACTTGCTCCTGTGATGCAAAATACTTAACACAGTTAGTTAATTGGGACAAATCCATTTGAAAGGTAACAAGGCGTGTTCTACAACCAGAGTATGTCCAGCCCAAAATACTTCCTGATGAAAAGCTTCACCTTCCTGTTGTTACTCTGTCCATGTCAGTCTTACCTCACTGCTTATTTTGTAGCTATTACTTTATTCTGTTGGTAGACACAAGAGTGCTTGAATATGATAACACTCTATACCAATGCAGTTTCTCAATGAGGTTTTGCTTCATAATACGGCTCAAGAGGTACCGTTAAATGAGCCATGCTATTAATCATCATTAAAGATCTGCAGTCGGGAAAAATGCTGAAGGAACAAAAGTCCTGTGCTACTTAACTATATCTGCGTCATAACTTAAGCGAGGCCTTGCTTGAAATGTCAGCTGAGCCCAGTTTGGCAGAGAATGATAACAATTAGGCTGCTGAGAGACTGGGGGCAGGACCGAAGGTCTGTGGCTTTCAAATAAAAGTTAAAGAGACATTTTTAAAAACTCTGTGACTACAGAACTTTTGCTAGTATTTTAGCCCAAATCATTTTAGATTTGAAAAACAAAGCTCTATATTTTGTGTCCTCCTTCCCTCAAGCCCATACAATATGCTATGCAGAAATCATTTCCCTCTCCTGCTGTTGCAAACAAGTCACTCTTCTTTCAGTTCTTCTGGAGGCTTCCTCTTACTTCCCTCACCACCCATTTCAGTTGCTTGGCCCTCTCTTTTTAATCCCTATGGTGTCCTACTCTAGCCTAAATCTTAGCTCTCCTATTCTTCATACTCTCTCCTCTCCCATATCTCCGCTTCAGGAAACCCCTTTTGTTTTGCCTCCAGAGACATCCCACACAAACTTCTCTAACAAGAAAGCCTTGCTAGCCTGGTTGCTACATATTCCACCCTAACATCAAACTCATGACTCCAGGCAGTCTATTCTGTTCTGTCTGCCTTGCATTAGATTGCAAGATCAGTGCAGCACGTTCTGCATCACCACATACATGTAGTGCTGAATAAATTTATAAAGGCTCTTAAACCATTTAGGCAAAGTACTGTTGCCTTCAGTTAATGTACGTGTCCCAAGACAGAATGAATCTGCCCTGTGTAAATGGTCAAAAAAGGGTGCCAGAAAAAATCAACTCCCCATTATGTAACATTAAAACCCCAGACAAGAATCAGGGGCCCAAAGTCCAAGGCACTGAAGAAAGAAACATCACAAAAGCTGCTGGATTTCACTTAAATGTCAAAGAAAAATGTACTGCAAATCTTTGGAATACTTCTAAAGAGGTCAATCAAGTCAATGATAATGCCTGTGGGACATGGTCCTTGGGCTGAATGTCACAGATAAGTATTTCTCCATTTTCATACTTTTCATTCACCTACATGTGCCTAATAAATATTTTCTCTACATTGTCTCTTTGGTAGTTTCAGCATCTTATTTTCCACTACTTTCCATCCCAGATCCAGGTGCATGTAGTAGTAAGGGATGGTCACATTGCCATGTGGAATAGTAGGCAGATTCTGGGAGCCTCATGTCTCCTTACATAAAAGGGGAAAATACGAAGGGCAAATTTTGCCTTTATCCTTGATGCCCTCAATAGCAGACAATTGTTTAATTGACTTGAAACCAACAAATGCCTTTTATGATTTGAAGAGCTGGCTAACCATATTGGCCCCACCCATGTTGGATGTCATGCCTGGGTTACCAACAACACAAGACGTTTGTGATTTTCATATGTAAAAAATGTATCCAAGTGTTTCTAACTGCACACTTGATCCCTGCACTTCAGGCTAGCTCATCCGTACAGAATGCTTAATGAAACCAGAAAGGCAGGTGAGCTGCTCGTTAAAAGCTTTGTTAAACATGCATGTGCACGGTCATTTCTTAGAGATATGATAGCATTTTAATGTAAGCTTTAGTGACAACCACTGACTTTCAAACATTAGCTTTTTCCTTCCCTATTCGATATCTGGATATACTGATAGATTGTCAGTCTGAACAATGCCTGAATGGATTTTTTTTTTTTGCCTTCCACAGATAACCAGGCCACTGTATGATTTTCAGTGCTTTGACTCTGAATAAAGGCTGCAAGTCTGGTGACTCTGGCTGCCCCCATTCAATGGCAATTTCAAGCAGACAGTGGAAGAACTGCAGAAAAAATAGATCTCATGATCCAGTCATGGGCCCTTCCAAATTTTCAGACAGAATAGTCCCAACTGTCTTTAAACATTCTGAGCTCCAGCATCAGCTTTCTAGCTTCTATAATGTTTTAAAAAATCATCTTTTTGAAAACTAAGAGACTACAACAAAAATGGCGATTACATCCGTTGCAAAACACACCAGACCCACTAATATGCCTACTGGGATCTCTTTAACGACACTTCCTCCTGTCAAGTGCCATGCTATGGCTTTGTTTCTGTGATGTATTCCAGATGGGTGAGAGCTGAAGTAGAGTCTAGTCCAACTAACTTCCTCAGGTTACATTTCTCTGACAACTCAGACACCTGAAAACCATCAGTGAAGGATGGAATTAATAAAAGGAAGGTCGATGGTCTCTTACACAGGCTAGCTGATTACATCCCATTTGGCCTAAAAGCCTAGGAAAGAGCTTGAAGGTGCTGCTGTCTTTGAGAACTCAAGTTCAATTCTATTTTTCAAAATAAACTCAAGGTTTAAAACAGGATCAACCATTCTGAGTTTCCCGGGAGCATGGCTGCAATTAGGGTTGAGACAGTGTACCTTACCAGAGGGAGCAGCTAGTCTAAACTTGGTTTGCACCAATTTTAGACTAGCCTAAAGCAGCCTATATCTAAATCTACCCTCTGCAAGTTCAGGTCTATCAATTTTGGCAGATGTTCTTCTCCTGTAACCACCGTAACCTCTAAATTGGCTTTTATTCCTCATGGTTACACTATCAACCATTTCACATCCCAAGTCTATAACGGCAACAGTGTGGAAGTTTCCCCATTCTATACAAGTTACAGTTCAATGTAACCATAAACGGGCGCATCTACACAAGACATTTACAGCAGAGCTGCCTGGATCCACAGTAAGGTCTCAATGTCTGCGCGTGCAGTCCTATTAGGCCTAAGGAAACTAATTAACTCCACCTCGAGTTAGTGCTTGCACATACAAGTACTATCCTACAGCAACGTTCTTGAGTGAGCAGCAACATACACGTAGATGTCGATGGGGCTGGCTGGAGCATGATGGTGCTTCAGTGAGGAAAGCTGCCTTCTGGCTAGTCCCTCTGCAACACATTGTGCTGAGTCAGAGCAGCCCTGGGCTGGCACACTGGCCCTTGGGGCCCCCTGCCAGCCAGGGCTGCTCCGATCCGGCTCAGTGTGCTGCAGTCCTGGGTGCACATGAAGATGTGGCACCCAGGAACAACAAAATCCAGCATGGTAAGTGCTGGAGCATATTGTTTTGCATTAATTTCATGTGTAGACATGCCCAGCATGTACAGGGATAAGCTTTCTTTCTTCCCTCAGAGACTACACAGTTGCCTCCTGAAGTCCTTAATTTGGTTGAGTGTTAATCAGAATCAGAATCATAGAAAAGTAGGGCTGGAAGGGACCTCCAGAAGTTATCTAGTCCAACCCCTGCCTGAGGCAGGACCATTCCCTATGTAGTTTGCTTGAAGATGCTCCAATTTTACCATGTCCATTGAAGAACACTTCAAGTCTCACATGGAAAGCAGCTTCACAGATCCACAGAAGTTTAGGGCTGGAAGGGACCTTGTGAAATCATTGGGTCCAACCCCCCTGCTCTGGGCAGGAAAGATTAGATTTAACCATGGCAAGGCATACACTTGCATTTTACAAAGCAATCCAGTAACAGGACCCTTTTGTTGACAAAGTGATGCATTTGCTGTTTCTACATGAGCAACAGTGATCGCATGCGTCAGTAGTTCCCAAACTGACAGATTGCACACCACCAATTTAAAATGATACAACCTTAAGCACCACCAGCAAATTTTTGTCACACAGTAATTATAATAAATCTGTTAACACTACCACTGACAGGTTGTCTGCATACCACTGGTGGTACCCATACCACAGATTGGAAACCACTGACATACACGATGGGAATTGATAAGGAGGGTCTCACACCCACACCCAGCAGGACCAATCTGATCAGAAAGCTTCTTCTCCTTTATGCAAACTGCACAAAACCTTTAATACTTCTGACATGAAACCAACCCTCACACCTTCTGGGAAAAGAGTTCACAT